CAGGTTCGCTTCGTGCACCTGTGCACCGCGGACGCTGCTTTCGCCAACGAGGCAGCGATGCGGATCGTGGCTCTTTTCTTTATGCAGGATTTCGAGCTGGCCAATCGCATCACGTACAGGTTGATTTTATACCGGTGTGCGTCTCACAAGGTGAACTTGGCCGTTCAGTTTGCAATATGCCGCCAGAGACTTCGGAACCCCATACGCTCGCATCGTCTGTGCTGCAACGCAGTTCGGCTGTTCAAGTATCTCACGCCGCCTTACGCCGACCACTTCGGCATGCAATTGCGGGACCACATCATTAGGGGCTTCGAGATTTTCGAGCGCGCCGCACTGCCTGATGACCAGCGGCCAGACTATGGGCTGCGGCGTTTGTACGGCGACGACGTCATCACGCCGGAGATCGCCAAGTTGCTGAACGTGGATTTCCGCCGTTTGGAAATGGCGTGCCCGCCGGGGGCGGAGTTGCGCGAGATGCGCGGCCTGCTGTATTCTGAGTTGTATAGATCGATAATTCGGGTGGAGAACCACCCCGTGATCACGCGATTTTTCTTGTTCACAGATTGCGCCTTTGCCATTCTGCGAGCTCAGCTGTTGCAGATTCCGTCCTCTGTCTTCTCACTGCACATGGCGAACTTGCGGGGGAAGGGCCAGAAGCGGATCACCGGGTTCCGCGAGTATTACGACAACGAGGCCGACCGCTTGGATTTGAAGAGAGCGTGCCTGAACTTACGACTCACGAAAGTTGCCAACGTCACGTGCTCGAAGAAGCCGAAGCCAGGCGATGATCCCGTCCTGGTTCAGATAGGCCGCGGTCGCGTGCAGGCCCAGGTGACGACCGAGCTTTGTGATGTATTAGCGAACCCGCACCACGACGCGAGCCTCGACCTCACTGACACTGTCCTTTCTTTGCTCAGCACGACCGTGCACGTCTGCCTGCGTTTCGGGGATTACAACGTGTTTAATTATCTGTGGGAGATGACGCTGAAATACAATCCTGACGAATGCGTTAATGCATGCGGAGTCTTCTTACGCACTCCAGCGAGCAAATTGGACGGCGGGTACGGCGTGCTGCTCCAGTTAGAGGCGTTGCAGTACCCCACCCTCCCAGAGCAGTTGGATTTCTTGCTGGGGGACTCCGTGCAGGAGGAGCTCGTGGATATCGTGAACCGCATGGGGCACGACTCGCTCGACGCGGAGCGCAAGAACCACCAGGACAGGCGCAGCGCCAAGAATCATAGGACTACCACCTTGGCCAGGGGTTCCCGCAATGGGATACTCCGTGAGTTCCGGACTTGGAGGCTGCGCCACCTCAGCGAGGCCGCCCAGAACAAGCGCGTTGAAAAATATTTGAAAATGGGGCCAATGGCTTGCGCTGTCCAGGAGATGCCGCATTTGATGCCGCGCGGCAGGGGCAAATTGCATTGGGAGGGTGACGTGCCCACGAGCGTCCAGAAGCAGTTGACTTTCGCTGGCGACCGCGCCGCGCTCGAGCGGTATTTAGCTGATAATCGAGAGCGCTTGGCGGCAAAGGCGGCCGCTCTGCGCGCCCGCGCCAAGGCCGCCGCCATTTCCGGGCCAGCGCTGCTGCCAGTCACGAACAAGAACTGGCTCGACTGGATGGCCGCCAACGAGGCGGTCTTCGCCGAGGCTCTGCGTTCCGCTTCGGCGAAGAGAAGTGACGCTTTCAACAGGAGGCTCGTGGCGTCAGACTTCCACAGTGAGCTCGAGCGCCATAGCGCGCCCCTGCCTGCGCGCCCGAACTGGTCCCGTAAGTGTCGACCGAGCAAGAGCGGGCACGTCTTCCTCTTGAGATTTCCTGGCGGGCCGAACGTCGCTGTCTTGTGCGACGAGGTGGGGAATAACATCTGGGCCGTTGAGCTGCTCCAGGTTCCTGGCGGCCCAGAGGGCGCGCTGATGCTGGACTGCAATCGCTTGGACAGGGCGTGCAAGCCCATGGGAGCCATCGTTCTCGGCGCAGGCGGGCACTGGCAGGATGCGGCTGAGCCAGAGGTGTACGCGTTGACGGTATCCGTCGACCGCGTCGACAAGGGCCGCGTATACCTGCAGGCAGTGGACCATAGCTTGATCGAGGTGGTACCGCCGCCGCCGAAGCGCTCCGGGGCGGACGATACCCCGTGCGAAGAGAGCAGTTCGGACGACGACGAGGGTGCCGCTGAGGCGTCGGAGGTCGACGCCGAAACCGAGGATGAAGCCAGCTTGGTGGATGACATGGAGTCGGCGGCCGACGTGGACAGCGACGCCGTCTCTCATGGGGGTGGAGAGGAGGGCGAGGCGGAGACTGAGGGCGACGTGGATGACGCGGGCGACGCGCCCGCAGAGCCCGTGGCCGCCGGTCCAGCTGGCGCGCTGCCGGGGACACATGTGTTGTGGAACAACGGCTACTTCTACTTGAGCCACTACGGCGTCGATGCCAAGATGTACATCTGCCCGACGTGGGCGGAGGATGACCAAATGGGGCGAAAGCTGAAATCCAAGACGCAGCAGCTCGCTGAGCATGGAGGACTGGATGCGACCATTTTCGCTTTGAGGGCGTGGATGATATATCGTAGTCAGCAGAACGACTGGCATCGCCGTTGCCCTGCTCGGCTAGCTTGGCATCGTGGCGAGGTCGCGGCGCTACGTCGCGACATTCAGGGGTGGGACCTGCGGGCAGCCACGCGCAATAGACTGCGCGACTGGGCGCCCGAGGTGCTCGCATGAAGCGGACGAGGCCGCTGCCAGAAAAACGCGCGTCTCCTCCCCTCCCCTCCTTATCCTCTTCCTCCTCCGTTTATTTCCGCCCGTCCTCGGCGGCCCTCGCGTGCACTTATCCCTCCTACTCTTCCCTCTTCTGCTTCCTCGTTCGCTCGATCGCTGGGTGGCGGCCGTGACGCCTCGCTTCGCTCGGTCGCTGGGTGGAGGAGGACGACGACGAGGAGGTGGAGGAGGAAGGAGGTGGACGAGGAGGAGGAGGGCGACGACGACGAGCAGGAGGAGGAGGAGAAGGTGGAGGAGGAGGAGGAAGAGGACGAGGAGGACGAGCTCAGTTCGAGCGCAGTGGTTTGCCCGCGCTGTTTCACTGTTTGCGTTTCTTCCTCCCTTCTCCTGTCAGCTCTCCTGGGCATCGTTTCTGGATGGGCTGGTGGGGGTGCGCGAAGCGTCAAAAATTAAAGGAACCCTCCATGGATCAACAACAGCGCTGGCACCGCCTCTGCGCTGGACCCTCGTTTGGCATGGAGCCTCTCACCCTTAATCCTAACCCTAAACCTTTACCGAGCCTTAGCGTTATATATATATATATATATATATATATATATTTCACACGCCAGGGCTTGTCGCCGCGGCTCCGCGTCTGGGCGCACCTTTTTAAAAAAGGTGCGAAGGTGAGGGGCGCGAAGATACAGCCATCCTGAGGAGTGAGCCAGGACTAGTTCGAGCGAGTGGGTCTGAGTCTGAGTTCGAGCGAGCCTGAGTGAGCCACATCGCTTGCAGCGCATAGATTGCATTGCATAGCTTACGCCATACATGCTGCGTTACATGGCTTGCACCGCATAGCTTGCACCACATCGGTTTGCACCCAAGAGGGACCCCTAATGCCCCCAAGACGGCCCTTGGATCCCAATATGGCCCAAGAGGGTCCTACCTAAGGCTGCCCAGGAGGCCCTCCAAGATGGTGCAGGACGGCTTCTATTTATCGTCCCCCTGGCGCCCCGATAAGCCGGGCAGAGGGCTCCAGAGGGTTCGAGTTGGTCCAGGAGGTCACCGTACAACGCAGGGGAGCGTCGGGGCCCATAGGTGATTGTAGCGGGGGCTGGGGGGAGCGTAGGGGAGCGTAGGGGAGCGTAGGGGAACGTAGGGGGGCGGACGACGACGACGACGACGACGACGACGACGACGACGACGACGACGACGACGACGACGACGACGACGACGACGGACGACGACGGACGACGACGACGACGACGACGACGGACGACGACAGACGACGACGACGACGTCGACGACGACGACGTGGGTGTATTTTTGGCAACGTAGGGGAGCGCACGGGGTCCCGGAGAGGGCTCCAGAGGGTTCGAGTTGGTCCAGGAGGTCACCGTACAACGCAGGGGAGCGTCGGGGCCCATAGGGGATTGTAGCGGGGGCTGGGGGGAGCGTAGGGGAGCGTAGGGGAGCGTAGGGGACGTGGACGACGACGACGACGACGACGACGACGACGACGACGACGACGACGACGACGACGACGACGACGACGACGACGACGACGACGACGACGACGACGACGACGACGACGACGACGGACGACGACGACGACGACGACGACGTGAAATAGTGTATTTTTGGCAACGCAGGGGATCTTCGGGGCCCATATGGGACTGTAGCGGGGGCTGGGGGGAGCGTAGGGGCAGCGTAGGGGAGCGTAAGGGGGCGTAGACGACGGACGACGACGACGACGACGACGACGACGACGACGACGACGACGACGACGACGACGACGACGACGACGACTACGACTACGACGACGACGACGACGACGACGACGACGACGACGACGACGACGACGACGACGACGACGACGACGACGGACGACGGACGACGACGACGACGACGACGACGACGGACGACGACGGACGACGACGAGGACGACGACGACGACGACGACGACGACGACGGACGACGACGATGTGAAATAGTGTATTTTTGGCAACGCAGGGGAGCGTACGGGGGCCGTAGGGGGCCGTAGGGGAGCGCGGGGGAGGCACGAAACGGAGGCAGTACGCGCCAAACCGACACACTATAGGACACTATTCGACACTATTCGCACACTATTCGACACTATTCGACACCCCCCGCCCGCGGCGTGGGCGGGGGCGTAGGGGGGCGTAGGGGGGCGTAGGGGGGCGTAGGGGAGCGTAGGGGGGCGTAGGGGGGCGTAGGGGGGCGTAGGGGGGCGCCCTCCTGTGCACCCCGTTGCCGCCGCGATTCTCCGGTCGCCCGAGGTTGCAGCGGCGGCGAAGGCGTGCGTCGACGGCCACCGAGCCCCCGTGCACGACGCGGTGGCGACTGAGGTCCAGAAGAGGAATGCGGCCCCGAAGCCCGCGGAGACCGCGCAGCCCGCGGCTGTCGAGAAGCCCGAGGCGGCCGACCCGGCCGCGCAGCCCGCGCCGCCCTCGGCTGTCGAGAAGCCCGAGGCCGTCCAGGAGCCCGCGCAGCCCGAGGCGGCCGGCCCGGCCGCGGCGGTGACCGGGCAGGACGGGCAGTCCGCGGATGCCGAGATGGCCGAGCCGCCCGCGAAGAGCGAGCCGGCCGCGGCGGCGCAGGTGCCTGGCGCGACGGCGCCAGGGCAGCCCGCGGCGCCTTCGGGCGCCTCGCCCGCCCCCCGGGGCTTCAAGAAGGGGGGCCAGGTAAGGATCGTGATGCGGAAAAAGGAGTTTAACGGGAAGACGGGCACGGTGGAGAACACGTGGTCCAACAGGGTGGAAGTGTGGATGCCCGAGGCCGACAATGGGAACGGCGAGTTCCGCACTTTCCAGAAAGTGAACGTGGAGCACATCCAGAGTGACGCGCGCGAAGGCCCCCCCCTGTGCCCGCCGGCGGGTCAGCGCAGCCCGGCCGCGGCTAGCTCGTCCGAGTCCAAGCCCGAGCCGCCCGAGAAACGCCAGAAAGTTACGCTGTCCCAACTGTTCAAGCCACGTTCGGACGCTAGGCGCTAGGGAGGACAGCAGCCAACCGCAGGAGGTGCGCGAAAACAGCACTCGCCGCATATCGTCCTGGCGCTCGTGCTTGTAATTCATCGCCACCGTCTGTTTCTGCGCCCTTGCGTCCTTCCTGGACCCGCGAGGTACCCTTGCGTCCTTCCTGGACCCACGAGGTACCCTTGCGTCCTTCCTAGACCCACGAGGTACCCTTGCGTCCTTCCTAGACCCACGAGGTACCCTTGCGTCCTTCCTAGACCCACGAGGTGAACCGCGCGAGGATGCGGGATTGGTAGGGCGCCCATGGTAACCCTTGGGCGGGATGCCCCCGCCCCTCCAGTCGTCGTCCGCGTTCGCTTCCTCATGGAGCCTCCGCTTCCAGGGCGCCCCAGGAGAGTTCCTTCTTCTCCATCTCCTTACCGTCCTCCTCGCCGCTTCGGCTCAGTCCTCTGGCAGGGCGCGGGCGCGGGGGATCGCCGCGTCGGCGGCGGGCCTGGTGGGCCCGGGTACTCCAGCGTTTTCTGTAGATGAGATTCCTTTCGCTTCGCGGGGTGCACGTCCGGATCATGTGCAGACTGGGCGTTGGGTGGTTTGCCCTGCTCGTTTGCCGTGTTGCCCCGAAGTATCAGCGCTGGGGCGAGCTTGCGAACGTGCAGTCCACGAGGGCAATGAGCATTCTCCGCGTGTCAGCACAAGGGGGTCCTACATGTTCGGCAAGCGCGCTTTGCACGAGGACTTCTACCTCGGGGCCACTGCCCTCCTTCCGGAAGCCTACGTATTTTCCATCCGCACACCTGCCAGCACACGCTCCCGTGCCTGCACCTGGAGGTGCGCTGCGCCCAGTGTAGTTCGTGCGATGAACCGCGTGCTGCACCTGGTCAAGACCGTCAGCTGGCCGCTCAGTCCAGTCCTTGTTGGGCCCTTTGGGAGATTCATTGGCTTGCGCCGCGCCGTCGTTCCCTTTGGGTCGACTGTCATGCCTCTCGGGTTCTCCTCAATGTATTTCTCGTGGCCTTCGGCCAGATCCGCCGCCGCCCCAATTGGGTCGTGGACAGCGGGCATCTCTGGGAAGCTTCTCGGGGACTCTTGGGAAGCTTCTCGGGGGCTTCTCCGCGGTGCGTTCGGGTTTTCCCGAAGCCTCTCGGGGGTTCTGCAGACCACTATGCGGGGCCTCTGGGCGTTTCGCGGGGGCCTATGTGCGTTTCGCGGGCTCGGTACTAGAGGGCGCTGAAGGGCACGATTGGGCACTATAGGACACTATCCGACACTAATCAACACTAAATCGATTCGGCGACGACGTCCCAAGTCTCCATGATTGCGGATCTAATCCTCTTGCTAGCTTGCTATTCCAGGTGTCTTAAGATCATTGTCGGTGAAACTAGTTTCTTGAGCTCAGCATTTGTCGTCGTCTGGTATACTCTGGCCTGGTCCGGTGCAAGCCGGCTTTCTCTGGCTCAATCTGGGGCATAAGTTGGGCCAATCCGGACCAATGGCCCCTTCATCGGGCTTGATCGTCTTGCATCGTGCCCACGACAACCCCTCGTCCTCGTCGAGTAAGACCATACGAGGGCAACTTTTTATCTGAAAAGGTAAGTTAGTTTCACGGATCCCTTTCAAACAATACCACCAAGTCCACGCGTGCGCACATATCAATAGCATATCAACACACAGCAGTTTTGGCGCGCACTTGTCGAAGTCATTCACAACCTCGCCCATAACCCGCACTTTCATGTCACCACGCAGAGCATCCGCGCTGATCTAGCATGCGCCCAGTGTGCGAATCCGTAGTATATC